GCAAGTTGTGGAATCTGTTATTCCCGGTCCGCCGGACCACTGCCTGGTCCGCCGGGCCGGGGTCAGTTTATTTTTTTTTTTGAAATTCTTCTCCCAGTCCGCGCGTCTGTTCCCACTCCGACTGAGCGGTTGGTCCGCGGCAGACCAATTCATGGTCCGGCGGACCAACCCTGTATTTTATTTTTTTTTATTTTCTTTTCCTTTTCTTCATTCTTTCTCGTTCCTTTCCGCACGTGACGCTCCTCGTGCCTCTCCCCGATATTGTACCATCACTTTTGGTGATTTCGTGATATCTCTATTTAATTATTAATTTTTAATAATTAAATATTCAAATCGGGTTTCGGGGTATTACAGAGGACAAAAGAACAACAATCTTTGGTTGTCCATAACTCTCCAGTTCCATTCGTATTCTACGTTCTTATTCACAATCCATTCTCCTTCACAGAGAAAATAAATAATTGTAGTTCTCTCCATTACATCCATTATACCTGTAAAAAAAAATTTACAAACCGAATGACACATTACCAGAATGAATATGAAAATTGAAACGAACATGATTTTGAAGTTGTTATTGATGTTAAAATCCATGATTAATCACTGCATAACAATGACAAGTCACTAATTCGATAAATTCGACCCATGTGACCCAAGTGACCCATGTGACCCGTGACCCATGTGATCTATGTGACTCATGTGTCTGTCCCATGTGATATATATGACTCATATGATTGTGTAACCCATGTAACTCATATGCCTCATATGTCCAAATGTCTCATGTGACTCGATTTTCTCCCACAAAACACAGTAAACAACTCAAAAACAAGAAAAAACCCACAGAATAACAGTATTTAAGTCGACACTTACCTATTTCCACGAGATTTGAAGCAGTTTCGCAAATTATCGAAGAGAGAGCAAGTAAATCGGATAAATGAAGCAAATGTGAGGACACAGAGACCAAATCTGAAGGGAGAGCAAGCAAATCAGAAGAGATACAGAGCAAATCGATGGAGAGAGAGAGAGCAAATCGGCGGCGGCGGAGAGAGAATGAAAATCGGAGGAGAGAGAGCAAGATACGAGAGAGCAAACAAAGGGAGAGAGCAAACGGATGAGAGAGAAAGCGCAAATGCTGGAGGAGAGAGAATCATAAGAGATACAGAGCAAATCGATGGAGAGAGAGAGAGAGAGAGAAAATCGGTGGCGGTGGAGAGAGAGTGAAAATCGGAGGAGAGAGAGAGCAAGATACGAGAGAGAGAGCAAACGGAGAGAGAGCAAATGGAGGAGAGAGAAAGTATAAATGCTGGAGGAGAGAGAATAAAAAATGTCGACGGAGAGAGAAAAATCTGATAATGAGGAGAGAGAAATCAATGATGCTTTTTAGGAAGGAAATTATTTTTTATTTTTATTTTATTTGTTTTATAATATAAGGGTATAATTAATGTAATTTTTTTTGACATATTTGATAGTTTCTTCGTCTCGAAAATCGAATAATATTCATTATTTGAAACAGCCAATCCACATGTGATGTGTGAACAATGACAGTTGTGTAGGGCGTAGAGGAACAACACCAATCCATCCCGAACTTGGTGGTTAAACTCTACTGCGGTGACCAACGAGTCACACACTAAGCATAGCAATTATATCAAAGGAGTATTGATGGAAATTTTTATTCAACCTTATGGATATTGTACATATGGAAAGAATATATCTGAAAGAGGTATTTTTTTTTCTGAGAGAAGGGTAGTCCATGAAGTACAAGTAGCATTTTAAGATCATTTCTGATAAACCCCCAAATAAGATGCCTATTGAGAAAATGTGCAGAGAGAAGAATGTACAGAGAACTGGACGATGTGAGAGGATAAATTACAGGAATACATCTTTGGTGTTTTAACAAAAAAAAAATACACCTTTGGTGTTCCATTGCTA